CAGAATTTTATCTTAGATTCCAAAATATAGAAGAAGAAAAAGGACAAGATTTGGTTGCGATAATGGTAGGAATCTTGGCGGAGGCGCTCGAGATAACAGAAGAGAAGATGATGGATGGAATTGATGAGATATATCGAGTTTTTACAAGATATGCGATGAGAAATAACCTACCCAGAGAAGTTCATATTAGATTTATTAAAAAATCTTTGAAGACACAAATATTGCAAGTAGCAAGAGAGAAGCCACTGAAATACAAAAGTAAAGAAATTTTGGTTTTAAAACAAATACCTAGAAGAGTGAGAGAGATGAGAAGAGAATACCGATTCCTGACTAAAAGGTTATTGGAAAAAGAGGTGTCTTACAGGTGGTTGATTCCAGAAGGATTGATGTTTACGTGGCAGGAACAGAGACATAGAATTGATTCAATTGAGAAAGCAGAACTGTTTTGCGCAGAGGTTTTTGGAGGCAGAGAAGGAGGAGCAGGAAAGGAGGTCCCATCAATTGAATCTCAAGAGGAACAAATGGAGGTTGGAAAAGAAGAAGGTGCAGTAGGTGGACAAGTGGATATTAAAGATCAACGTGAGGCAAGACCCACGAGAGTGGTTAAATCTAAATATAAAGCATAATTATGGAAGAAAAAAAATTGATTACAATGAATATAAATGGACTGAACTCAGCTGCTAAGAGAAGGAAGATTTTCCATAAATTAATGAAATTAAGGTTCGACATAATTTGTTTACAAGAAGTTCATATTAAAAAGCAACATGAACAATTGTTATTACAACCAAAATTAGGGAAATTGTTTACCTCTTTGACACAATCCAAGAAAAGAGGGGTGGTTTTATATATTAAAGAGGCCATTCCAGCAAAAATGATTTATACAGATGATGATGGGAGAATATTAATGGTAGAAATAATGGACAATAATAGAAAGATACTTTTGATTGCAATTTATGCACCGAATGATAAACAGGAAGAATTCTATAGAAAATTACATACTAAGACTGCCGAACTTGACTATGCTAATGTAATTATGATGGGAGACTTTAATGGAATTGTGGATAATAGACTTGACTATATTGCAACAACAGTAAAGCATAACAGGAAAATTCTTCCTAAATCCTTTTTTAAAATGATAGATGAATTAACTTTAAAAGACATATGGAGAGAAAGAAATGATAAATCTAAGCAATTTACGTTCTATTCAAATAGGCATCTATCATGGTCCAGACTGGATATGATTTGGATCTCAACAGATTTAATGTCTAGTATTCAAGAAGTAAATATTGAAACAAGTTCTTGGGCTGACCATAACCCATTGACAATTGAATGGAAGGGACAAAGGAAAAGATCGAGATGGACATTAAATAATTCTATTTTAAAGGATAAGGAATTTATACAATGGATGGAGAAAGAATTGGCCTTCTTCTTTAAAGAGAACAGAAAAGAAGACACCTCAATACAGAATGTTTGGGACACAATGAAGGCCTATGTTAGAGGCTTGATAATAGACTATACAAGAAAAAAGAACAACAGGAAAAGGCGAACTCTTAAAGCCTTGGATGATGAATATAAGGGACTTGAAAAAGAATTACAGAAAATGCCACACAGAAAAGATGTTAAAATGAAACTGGATATAACTAAACATAAAATGGATTTAATAGAGAAAGAAGAACTGGCACAGAAAATTAGGAATGCTAAACAGAATTATTTTGAGGATGCAAATAAGCCAGGTAGATGGCTAGCGTACAAATTGAGAAAGGAGAAAGAGTCGAGGAAAATACCGCAGTTAATAGACGACCAAGGTAAAATTTGTTATGGCAGCAAAGAAAAAAAAGAGATTATTTATGATTTTTATAAGCATTTGTATAAGAAAGAAGACATTGATGAGGAGAAAGTTAAACAATACCTACAGAATGCAAATCTACCTAAGATACCTAAAGAGATTGAAGAAATGCTAGAAAGTAATATAACAATGATGGAGTTAAGTCAAGCACTTAAGAAACAAAATAATGGAAAGGCACCAGGTCCAGACGGGTTTCCTGTAGAATTTTATAAAATCTTTCAAGAATCACTGTGTATTCCACTGTTAGAAGTTATGAATGAAGTTATGTTAAAAAAGATGATACCTAAAACATGGTCAGAGGCTTACATTACACTTATTCCAAAAGAGGAGGCGGACCTACTGCAAATCAAGAATTATAGACCGATTTCTTTATTAAATGCAGATTATAAAATTTTTGCTTCAATATTAGCAGAAAGACTTAAAAAGTACTTGAATAACTTTATCCACCCAGACCAAAATGGGTTTTTGCCAAAGCGACAAATCAGAGACAATATGAGAGTAATTCTGGACACCCTGGAATACTATGAGGCACATCCTGAAAAGCAAATGGCTTTGATATTTTTAGATGCTCAAAAGGCATTTGATAACGTGAATTGGAGATTTATGTTACTTTTAATGGAACAGATGGGCTTTGCTAGAAGATTTATTCAGGCAATAGAAGCAATTTATAATGAACAAACAGCTAAGGTAATGATGGAGGGAGAATTTACAGATCCTATTAATATAAGAAAAGGCACAAGACAAGGTTGTCCTCTTTCTCCCTTGATATTTGTATTGACTTTGGAAGTGTTGAACAGAAATATCAGAGAAGATAAAACTATAAAAGGAATGAAAATTAAAAAGGAAGAATTTAAACTACAAGCCTTTGCAGATGACCTAGTCTTTATCTTGGAAGACCCTATAGAAACAGCCTCGAAACTGTTGGAAAAGATAGAGGTCTATGGGGAGGTGGCTGGTTTGAAAATAAATAGAGATAAAACAAAGATTTTGTCAAAGAATATGTTGCTGAAACAAAGGGAAGAGTTGGCAGAACTGTTAAAAATTCAAGTTACAAACAAGGTTAAGTATCTGGGGATATATTTGACATCAAGATGTAGTACATTGAAGGAGAATAATTATATTAAACTTAAACAACAGATAGCTCAAGACTTGAAAAAATGGGAGAACTTACAATTGTCATTAATAGGAAGGATTTCAACAATTAAGATGAACATTTTACCCAGAGTCTTATTTTTGTTTCAAACAATACCAATTAGGCTTGGAAAAGAATATTTTGAGGATTTAAATAAAATTGTTTTGAAGTATATATGGCAAGGTAAGAAAGCAAGAATAAAGTTAAAGCTTTTACAGGATGCTAGATTTAGAGGAGGGTTTGGACTGCCTAATTGGGAGTTGTACTACCAAGCTGCAAACTTGACGTGGGTTAAAGAATGGATAACATTAAGGAAAACCAGATTGTTGACATTAGAAGGTCATGATTTGTTGTTGGGCTGGCATGCTTTTTTATGGTACAAGGGAACTAAAACACAGGGGTATTTTAGAAGGCATTATATACGGGAGTCTCTGTGGTTGAATTGGGAGAAGATAAAAAAACAGTGTTATTTGAAAATTCCAGTTTGGTTATCGACGATAGAAGCGTTTTCTTATCCTATAATCTATAAAAAGGAACAAACAGTTAACTATGGGGAATTATTAGATGAAAAGGGTGAACTTAAATCGATGCAAAAATTGGAAGAACAAGGTATACGGATGAATTGGTTTTCATATTTGCAAATATATTCAAAGTACTATGAGGATTCCAAAGCAGAGGGATTTTATGATAAGCAAACTGACTTGGATAAGATTTTGATGGGTACTGATGAAAAGGTGATTAAAAAATTGTATGGTTATTTATTGCAAATTAAGCTTGAGGAAGAACAAGTTAAAGAAACTATGATTGCGTGGGGGAGGAATTTTGGATATGGGATTGATTTAGAGAAATGGCAGAAATTATGGTCGCAAAATTATAAAATGACAATGTCTACAGCCTATAAAGAAAACTTGTATAAGATGTTTTACAGGTGGCATTTTCCCCCGACAAGGATAGCAAGAATGTTTAAGAACAAATCCGAAAAATGCTGGAAATGTCATCAGAAACCTGGTTCATACTATCACATGTGGTGGACTTGTGAGGATGCTAGAAAATATTGGACTAAAATCCACATGTGGCTGGAAAAAATGACAAAGAAGCATATAGACTTGAAACCGGAGTTTTTTCTATTGGGAATACTACCAGATACTTATAGTAAAGAGTTGAAATATTTGATTGTAAATGTATTGACTGCTGCTAGGATTGTATTTGCAAAAAATTGGAAAAATGAGAAAATTCCATTGCAAGAAGAAGTTGTAAAGAAAATTTTGGAATGTGCTGAGATGAGTAGATTGACTTTTGAAATTAGAGAGCAAGAAGATAAACAATTTTATTTAGTTTGGGATCTTTTCTATCAATGGTTGAATGATGAAATATTAAAATATAAAAGTTAGATAATAAGGAATAATAATGACTTTATTTTCCCTTTCCTTTTATTGGTTTTTGATACTATATTTATATAATAGTTTTCTTTGTTTCTTTCTTTTTCATATTTGGGATAGAATTGGTATGATTATAAGATTTGTTTTAGAATAAAATATTTAAAATATAGTTATCTCATAAAGGCATGACCGAATAAAAGTTTAGTCAAATTTTTTTTTTTTTTTCTTTAATAGAGATACTAGGATTTATAAATTTGTATTGATAAGAGTATTATATAAAGTAACTGTAATTGTGACTATGAGGTGAATGCACAAAACCGATGGACCAACCGACTTACGGTGTGTACAAAAATATGGGGGAGCTGATACTTTTATGTTTTGTTGTTGTGTTTTTTATGTTAAAAAAATAATAAAAATTTATATAAAAAAAAAAAAAGATGGAGAAGAATGCAGCTGGATGGGGGGAAGGTGGGATTGGGTCTTAATTAATCAACCTCCTCCAGTGTGATATTTCCCCATTATCACTGAAAAAGCTAAAGTGGTTTCCAGGAGCAGGCTATTCCATAATATTGAGGCCCACACAGAGACACACTTTTTAATAGACTCAACCCCTCTCTTTCCAGAAAGTGGGGAACCACCGATAATTTTGCCAAGGAAGATCAGTTTGAATGGGCTGACTCAAGTTGGAACAAGCAGCCCCGGAGGTGGCATTATTATTTCTCCTCCCCTTAGGATACTTATGGTTTCACCTATTTTTAGGATATCCAACAAAGTGGATATCCTACAAGATTCCAATGGAAGATGCACCGCCTCTCTCTAAAGCTTTTTCCATGCTAGAAAAAGGTAAGTCTCAAAGTATTATGAAATGTGAAAACATAAACTTCAAATTAGATGGCATCATCTGATCCTTTCCTTGCATGAAGGAAAATAATTTTCTCACCTACCAGGTATTTTTTTCTAAAAAATCTTTAGTATTTCTGGACATCCATCAACAGCGTGAAATTTGAATTTTTTTATTTGCAATCATCATAAATACATGGCAGCTGTCAATGTCTGAATTTTCATCATGTGACCATGAAGATGCTGCTATGGTCCAAAGGGTGAAAAACATTCATAAGTCACATTTTTTGCAATGCCATTGTAACTTCAAATGGTCACTAAACAAATGGTTGTAACTTGAAGATGACCTGTAATTACTTAAGAAGCAGTCCAGAACTGCAGGTCTAAGTTCACCATTCATGATCAAAGTCAGGAACTAGTTATTTTTCTCCTTATTTATGAATTCCGGTATCATCCGCCATTCGGGAATATGATATTTGTTTAAACTGATGGAAAATTAAGAAGAGATGATAATATTTTAAAAGAACCATATATTTTTTCCACCCAAACTTCCCATCTTCTTATATGATTTACTCAATGGAAACCTGTCTCTCTTTGAACGACCAAGGTAACTCTGAGAGAAATAAATGACTCCTAGTCCATGTGCCAGAAAACATACACATGTTGAACTGTGTGTAGTTTCCTTGAGGACAGAAGCAAACTGAGTACAATGTGTCAGAGGTCAGCTGAAATATTTTATTTACTGCAGCCCCTTTCAGTTTGTGCAGCTTAGAGTCTCTGTAGGATTTCCCAAACCAGGTGCAAGTTTTCATTACAAAGCTCTCTCCCTAGTGGTAATTTTAGTCAACAGGAATACATCTGCAAATTTCTGGAGTTTTTTTTTAGTCCAGAGGAATGATAGCAATAGATCTGTGCAACAGATCTTACTTCAGAAATTCAGTCCTTCAGCGAGTTTTCAAAAGTCAATAGGAGCAAATCAGGAAGGTGAATAAACACAGTACAGACCACCATTAGTAGAAGGGCCACCTTTTAGAGATTTGAAGCTGGAAGTTTTAGGAAACTGAATCTCTCTATATGGGTGTTCTGTCCTTATTGCTGAGGTAAACGTAGCTATAAACTCCCAGGTTCAGTCCTTATTAACATGATGTTTTATCATTCCTTGTTGACATCTTATGCTATTTTGCTACTATGTGGTTTTTACTATGCGGTTCATTCTAGGGAATACCCCTTACCCTGAGGGGAATCATACACTCTTACAGTTCACTTTATTTGGTAACTTGCCTTTAGGATGGCTAGATTTATTGATTATGTTTATGTTACGCTTATGTTTAAGACAAATGAATAGACAGAGAAATGAAACCTTGCAAAGTAATGCTACAGCAGCCCAATCATATTTTAAAGTACCATTAGTCTTTTGAAATGTTTTTCAAACTGGGCCTTACAAGGAAAGCAGCTCCCTGCAATGCGTTAAAACAACCCACTATTTTCAGGGAGCTGCACAAATCTGAAAAAAGGATGCTGCTACTTTAAAGAGTCGACTCATTCATGTGATGCTTAATCAGACACAGCATTTTTTCAAACTTAAGAATCCAGGCTGCTTTAATGAATAGCACAGAGTTGGGTGTTCATAGTTGTGTGAGGTCTAAGGCAGATGTTCCAAATTAATTTCAAAGTATGCACAGTTCTAATCTTTAGCCTGATTGTCACTAGTAGTGATTATGTAGTTGCTATATGGGTGTTGAGTAAGGAATGAATATGCTATGCACAGAAGACAAGCAAAAATGTTCCATGCAAGCCTAAATCAACCAAGCCTACTTTTCCCCCCTACATAGCGAACAACTGTTGAATCTCGAGGAGTACAGCTTTTCTTTGAACACTTTGGAAGAGGTAATCCCTTTAAATAATACCCTTATCTGATAGAATTTGTGGGGGTTCCCTCCCTCCTCCCAGATCTTACAGCCTTATCAAGGCAGAAGGGTGCTCCTGGGAGGGGTCCAAGTGAAGAACACTAGTAGAATATATGTTCTATTAACTATGGAGTGACCCTGTGTTCTCCATAGAGTTGCTCAAGGCATGAAGGCATTCCAAAGCAGCCCCCTATATCTGGCCATAGTGACCTAGAAAGATGTTTGGAAGCAGATCTGCTTCCTACTGCTTCTTAGTGGGCAATGGGGAATCACTCATGTATTTTATCAAGAAAACCATATGGATAGACAAGATAAACCGACTGATGATATAGTGCTGGATGACAGGCCCCTTGAGTTACCTATTTATTTATTTTTAAATTATATTGCCATCTACTCATTCACAGTGACTCAAGGAAGTTTACAGGAGATTAAAAACACAATATAAAAGAAATAAAAATAAATAATAAAAACAATAAAATAATAATCCCCATCCTCCCACCTTGTTGACAACATGTACTCATACCAGCCATTTAATGGGCTCCATCCCATTCTGGGTTCCCCGGCCCGCTGGAAGAACCATGTCTTCAGTGCCTTCTGAAAGAGTGTCAGAGTGGGGGCCAGTCTACTTTTTGAAGGGATGATGTTCCAGAGGGAGGGAGCCACCACAGAGAAGGCCCTTCTTCTAGCACCAGATGTATCTTGTTTGGGATGGGACCTGCAATATGCCTTGCCTCCCCACTCTAGTGATAGGATGGCACTTCATCTTACTGAGAAAGGGCTGAAAATATTTCAGAGTACTAACGATGTTTATGATGCAGCTACATCATCCAAAAGATCCTTCTTTTACAAAAAGAACTAAAACTAATATTTTCCTAGGAAAGATAAATATTAGGCAACTGTTATCTCTTATACCATTCATCCATCATTGACTAACTTATTAAACATTGTCTGCTTTATGTAGGTTTTCCTAGAACTTTGCAAAGAGCAAGAGCGAGATTATTTTGATTTGCCTCCGAATACAACTTTTGATTGGAAGAAACTTCAAGAAGGTGATCTCTAAATCGTCAACACATTTTTTAAAAAAAGAACAGTAATGATACACGCACCGATTCCTTGATCTAGAAGAGAGAATATTCTCTAGATAATGGGACTTATAATCTGCTACTTAGAATGCAAGTCTTAAAAGAAAAGGCATTATAACTAACCCTTATTGTTATGTCCCCGGGACTAACACAAGTTCCCCATCAGGTCCGCTCATGCTACGGGGGCGTATGCAGCCCCCATTGGCTGGCTCCCTTCGACAGCTGGCTATAAAAGCCGGCTGCTAGGTCGAGCCAGTCGCTGTTCACTGGAAGGTCTGTTGTTAGCCTACAGACGCGACAGCCCCCTTTATTCCCTGAATAAAGTGTGTTATTGAGATGCTCTGGTGTGGCCTCCCCTTTGTTCCGAGTTACAACATTGGCGACGAGGATGGGATCTGGCCAACCAGCAGCAAATACCAAAAGAGCTGAATCACACACCAAGACACTGAACCGTAGCCGCGCCGTTTGAGAGCTCGGTCAGTTGTCGACTGCGGAAGTGAAAGTGGAGCGTGTAGCCGCTCGATTCAAAAAAGCTACGTGAGAGAAGTAGGGCACTGAGAACCTCAGCCACCCAGCACTGAGCACAGAATCCAACCGCTGCTGTTCGGATTCTGCTTGTTAGCGAAGCTTTCGGCGCTGCTCTCACAGCTGCCATAACACATAGGCGCGCGATTCAAATAGCTGTCAGCACGACACTACAGCTATAGCCGCCTACGCCCTTGTAAGGGCGCGAAATTCAAACGGAAGTCAGTTACGGCGCTACAGCAATAGCCGCCATAGTCACTCAGAGCGTGTAACCCAGAGAGATCCTCCAAGAGCTGAAGCAGCGCTGCGAGCTGCAGCTGCCACCCTTATCAGGGCCTTGTATTCCCAGAGAGATTGGTCAGTCTACCAACAGACTGAACACCCAATATGAATTCAAATCCGGCGTTTCCGCCATTTAAGCCAGATGAAGACAAGTGGGACTCTTACAGAAACCGCTTCAATCACTACATTGATGCCATCGGTCTGGCCGATGCTACCGAGAACAGGAAAAGTCATACTTCCTGAGTTACTGCGGGGCTGCAGTATTCGATACCGCCACAGCACTATTCACCCCAAGAGAATTAAAGAGCGTCCCTTGGTCCGAGCTGTTGGAGACACTCTCCAACCATTACTCCCCAAAGCCATCACAGATAGCGAGACGCTTTGCCTTTCGTATGAGGAAGCAAGCAGATGGGGAATCTATCAATCAGTATTTGGCCGCCCTGAGAACTGCAGCTCTCCACTGCGAATTTAAAAACTACCTAGACGACATGCTTCTTGACCAACTTGTCTGCGGAGTCAGAGATGTAAGATTACAGAGGCGCTTCCTGGCCAGAAAGGATCTCAACCTCACCCAGGCGGTTGAAGAAGCCTTGGCCGCTGAACTAGCGACCCAGTCGGCCGCTGAAATACAAGGGAGCGCAGCTAAACCCAGTCCGGTCACTGTTCATTCCGAGGAAGCAGTGAGCAAAGAAGACCCCACCGAACACGTGGAAGTCCATCGCCTCAAACCCTTCAAGCAGCCGCAGGTAGGAGCTAGGCCAAAAAACGGCAACGCGCCTAAACACATCCTTTTGTGCCTCTCCTGCGGGGGGTCCCATGCCAGAACGACTTGCAGGTTCAGGAACGCCACCTGCAACAATTGCGACAAGAAGGGCCACATCCCAGGGCCTGCCAGGCAACGCACGCGGCTCCACAAAAGCCATCATCCTATTACCCCCCTCCGGGGCCACCCAGGCAAGTAGAAAATTGTTATACGTGCTACCAAGCTAACCACACTTTTCTGACACCTAACAAAATAACACTCTCTATTCATTTAGAAGGTAAACCCTGCCTTATGGAAGTCGATACCGGGTCAGCGCTCTCGATCATCTCATGGAGCACACTTAAGAAAATACGACCCAGCCTGTCCAGGAAGCAACTCCAGAAGAGTCGCCTCACTTTGAGAGATTATCAAGGGAAGAATATTCCGGTACTCGGAACAGGCAAGTTCCTCGTTAAATTCAAATCCTTTAAAGGCCATCTGCCGTTAGTGGTGGTAGATGGTGCCCTCCCTAGCCTTTTGGGGTTGGATTGGTTCCCCTATCTCGGCCTTAGCTTAACGGGAGTACATGCTGTCTCACCTTCCGATATCGACTCGCTCTTTTCAGACTATGCTGACGTATTCAGCAATGAATTGGGTTGTTATAACGGTACACCCATTTCCTTTTCGGTGGACCCCCAAGCGGTTCCCGTCCGTTTAAAACCGCGTAGAGTACCATTTGCTCTGCGCTCTAAACTGGATGCAGAACTGGACAAATTGCTTAAACAAGGGGTGATCGAGCCCACAGATTTTGCTAAATGGGAGACCCCGATTGTCACACCCCTAAAAAAAGATGGCAGTATAAGAATGTGTTCTGACTATAAGACCACAATTAACCGCTATCTACAGACTAGTGCGTACCCAGTCCAGGTAATCCAACACTTACTTCACACATTCGAGCCGGGAACCATATTTGCCAAATTGGATATGTCACAGGCTTATCAGCAATTTCCTGTGGATAACCAAACGGCCGAATTGCAAACTATTGTCACCCACAGAGGGGCTTTTCGATGCAAACGTCTCCAATTTGGCGTTAGCGTCGCCCCTGGTATCTTCCAGTCATTAATGGAACGGATACTGCAAGGCCTCCCTGGCGTAGTTCCGTACTTTGATGACATTTTGGTTTCAGCCAGGGACAGACCCCAACTTTTCCTCAGAGTCAGAGCGGTATTGGACAGGTTCAGGCAGCATGGCCTCAAACTAAAGAGGGAGAAGTGTGCCATCGCCACTAGGCAGGTGGACTTTCTTGGATATAAAATAGACGCCTCTGGCATCCACCCGGTAGAGTCTAAAGTCAAAGCCATTCACGAGGCACCCACTCCTTCTTCCAAGTCAGAACTACAAGCTTTCCTGGGTTTGCTAAACTTCTATGCGTCGTTCCTGCCCCACAAAGCGTCAGTAGCGGAACCGTTGCATAGACTTCTAGACAAAACCACTCCTTGGCATTGGGGACCCAAAGAGGAATACGCCTTTAAGGCAGTAAAATCGCTACTCACTTCGGACGCTGTCCTAATACAATTCGACCAGCGCCTTCCACTAGTCTTGGCCGCAGATGCCTCACCTTTCAGGATTGGAGCTGTCTTAAGCCACAGACTTCCCAATGGCTCCGAAGCGCCAATCGCATTCTTTTCTAGAACCTTGTCAACAACTGAGCGCAATTATAGCCAAATTGACAAAGAGGCCCTAGCCGCCATTGCTGCAGTCAAAAAATTCCATGAATTCCTTTTCGGTCACAACTTCGAACTTGTCACAGATCACAAACCACTGTTGGGACTCCTCTCAGGAGAAAAACAAACACCGCAAGTCTTATCTCCCAGAATTACTAGGTGGACCTTATTCCTGGCGGCTTACTCGTACAAACTGGTCCACCGCCCAGGAAAAAATCTTAGCCATGCCGACGCCCTCAGCCGCTGCCCATTGCCAGCACCCGTGGAGGACCCGGCCCCGGTCCATGCCATTTTCGATGCCAGTGAGTTCAACATCCCAGTCACCGCTGGCGACATCGCCCTCCACTCCAAAAAAGACAAACTTATCGCCCAGGTCCTGGACTGGGTACGGAGGGGGTGGCCGGGCAGTACTCTCTCAACTGAATTCTCACCATTTAAAACCCGCCAGCAAGAACTTTCCAGTTTACAGGGCTGCCTGTTGTGGGGGACCAGAGTTGTCATTCCAAAACCGCTGCGCACACCCGTCCTGAAGGCGTTACACGAGGGGCACCCCGGCATCGTCCGGATGAAAGCGTTGGCTCGGAGTTACGTTTGGTGGCCGGGTATGGACGACGAGATCACGAAATGGGTAAGCTCCTGCCACCCCTGTCAAGAGTCCAGGCCAGCACCACCAATCACCACCCCAACCAAATGGGAGAGTGCCAACGCACCATGTCGCGGTTGCACATTGACTTGGCCGGGCCGTTCCACGGCAAGACCTTCCTGGTGGTCGTGGATTCTTTCTCCAAATGGATCGATGTGGCCCTCCTACTCACAACCACCACCCGAGCAATTGCCCAGGCATTGACCCGTTTATTTGTGACACACGGTCTGCCTGACACCATAGTCTCAGACAACGGGCCCCAATTTACGTCCACAGAATTCAGCCAGTATGTCACCAACCTGGGCATCCGGCATATCCTAACGGCCCCCTTTCATCCCGCTAGCAATGGGTTGGCGGAGAGGGCCGTTAGGTCAGCAAAAGAGGCGTTGGCGAGATTCACCCAAGACGACTGGCACTCCAGACTCTCTCGTTTTCTCTTAAGCCAACACTTGACCCCATGTACTGTCACAAACAAATCTCCAGCCGAGTTACTGATGGGCAGACGCCTAAGAACAGTGCTAGATAGACTACATCCCCACTATTGCCCTGACACACCAGTTGGCTCTAACACTAGGGTCCGGAGTTTTGTATTACAGGACCAAGTGTTCGCCAGGAACTACGCGGGCGATCCACTGTGGGTACCCGGGAAGATTGTAGCCATCACCGGCCCAAGGTCATACTGCATCCAGTTGGAGGACGGACGTATCTGGCGGAGACATCTTGACCAGATAAGAAGTCGCCAGGGCGAACATGCCAACGCTGATCCAGGGACTCCAGTGACTCTCCAATCGCCGCACCCGAGTCCTAGCTGGGACCTCCAAGGTAACCAGCCTCCACCAGCTGAATCGAGGGAACGGACGGTAGACCTGGACCGTTCTACAGAGGCACCAGCCGTACCAACCAACGATACCACCGGGTTGTGTGACAATGACGATTTAACAATCCAACCCGAGGACTGTGACCACTCCCAGACTCCAAACCGGTCTCCAGATCAATCCTGTCGTCCGGCCAAGCCAGTTCCTGACTTCCAGAACTCTATGCCACTTTGTGCATCGCCAGAATTGCGCCGGTCAGGGTGCTCGCACAAACCACCCGTTTACTTACAAGACTATTCATGTTCGTATCTGGGGGGAAGGGCTGTTATGTCCCCGGGACTGACACAAGTTCCCCATCAGGTCCGCT